AAGAAACAAATCAGTTCATAATAGAAGAATTAAAGCAAACAAAGGGAAAGAAAGAACTCTTAGAATCGCCCATGATGCTGAGATCTCCTCCTCTTTCCGCCACATTCTTCTTGAGAGCTCCTTTCTTGACTGATTGCTCATTTCTTCTTGATTCAATCCCCAAGATTGATTCAATCCCTTTATCTTTCTAAGATTATATCAAGAATTTAGATCTAGAGGGACTCTTCTCAGTTTCTTGTTCTTGGATTCGTATTAGACCTCCTCTGCGAATTGGGCTGCTGCAAGGCTTTTCTACAAGTTGGGCTTCAGCTGCGGATTGGGACTTCCTACGAATTTTGCGCGACTTCGGGCCCAGATATGACTTCGATGCAGACTGAATCAGCCAAAGACCAAAACACGAAAGTTGTGGATTTTTCTCTTATCTTTCTAATGGGTCTTGAATCAGCCCAATCGGAGTTCGGATACGCGAGTTAGGCCCAAATTACTGAATGGTGCCGAAATTATGAAAAATCATCCGATTTGCCTTTCTTTGCTCCTGATGCCTTCTTTCATGCCCTGAACCGAAATACAAGGAATATGAGTCCAATTAAGTGCTAATTAAGTATGAAAGACAGAATATTTGGGGATAAAAATGTGATAAATTCTACTCTCATCAAATTCCCCCACACTTAAACCTTGCCTGTCCTCGGGCAAGACAAAACTCAAGCAAAATTAAAACAGGAACAAACTAACTATCCTACCGATTTTTAAATTCAATTCTCTTTCATCTTTGTCCACAAATATTGTAGGTTAACTATTGCAAACCGTTGAATCAAAACGACCAAATCATACAAGACTCATTCATCAGTCAATCCAATTTTTGCTACTGCAAACCAGGTAGTAAATCAGGGAAAACCTCTCTCTTTTTTTTTCTTTTTTTTTGGGAGTGAGTGCATTTTATGCTCCATCTCACTTTTGGATCACTTGGCCAGTAGGTGCATTTTATGCTCCATCCTACTATTGAATTGCTTGGTAAAATATTTATCCTATTTACTTAAACCTGAATTTAGGACTAGCTAACTGGAAATGGCTTCAGATAAGTTACTTACCCCTTGATCGTACCTCATTACTAGGTTCACAAAAAWTTTTCCAGAATATTGTTTTAATTGATTTCAAAAGAGTTGAGTTTTTTTCTTTTCTTTTTTTTTTTAAAAGCAAATGCAAAAAACACGACCTAAATCAAATTTTAAAACACAACCTAAATTCTAACCTAAATCCTAAATCCCCTCCCCCACACTTAAAACTTACATTGTCCCCAATGTGAGGTTAAATGCAAAGAAATGATAGAAAAACTAAACTAGAAATGTAAAAACAAAAAGAAAAAGAAAAAGCAAACTTCCCTATCATAAACCGGATCCTCTAACTCTCATGGTCGCATATTTCGGTGTGCTCCCCTTCCATCCATCATGGGYGGGTTCAAATATGGAATAGGGGCCTGCAAAATAGAGGGTAATGGTCTCTTATTAGAAATCAGCAACATATGAACTTTACCTTGTCTTGGCTTGCACCCTTCCTGGCCAGCCTTCAAATTGTTCAAAACCTCCTTAACTTCCTCATCCAAGTTAGCTTTCAARACTCTTTCAGGGTAGGGGAGAGGAAGTTTAATAGCATCTAATCTCAGTTTAGGTGTATTCCTTATGATCTCCTTTTGCAGATTGACCACATCAGCTTCCTTATCATCCTTTTGGGTCTCACCAATTGTCTTCCCTTTTCCTAAAGTTATGGCATTTACTTGCTCTTTTGCATTCTTCTCCGTATTGCTGGGCAATCGTTCCTCTTTTCTTTCCGACAACATATGCACAATCTGCCCCACTTGAACTTCTAAGTTCTTAATCGATGCTTCATGGCTTAAAAACCTCTTATCTTGCTCTTGGAACCTTGCTTCAGTAGCACTAATGAACTTAGAGATAATTTCTTCCAGATTACTCTTTTTTTCTTATGGAGGCAGCTGTTGTTGGAATCCCATGGGTGCCTTTTGCTGATTGTTGCTCCATGAAAAGTTTGGATGATTCCTCCACCTTGGGTTGTATGTGTTTGAGTAGGAGTTGAAATTCGGCCTGCCAGCATGAGAGATAAGATTAGCATTCTCATATGAAGTGAAAGGACTACATAATGGACAATCAGAATTAGCATGTCCTATTTGACCATAGAAATCACATGGGATGCTAGATAATGTATTTATTGCTGCAATATTAAGAGTATCAAGTTTCTTATTCAGATTAGCAAGTTGAGCAGATATGGCTGCAAGGGAATCGATATGGTGTACTYCCCTTTGATTGGTTCGATCATTACTCCATTGGTAGCTGTTTGACACCATCTCTTCTACTAGGTCATAGGCTTCCTCTGGTGTTCTTCTCATGGTAGTGCCACTTGCGGCTGCATCAATAATAGATCGATTAGGGGGGGTAATGCCATTATAAAAGGTTTGATTTTGATACCAAGCTGGTATTCCATGGTGAGGATACTCCCTAGGCATCTCTTTAAATAAAGAAGGGTTCTTTCTATTTCAGGATCGAATCTTGCTAGTCCTTCTCTTCTAGTGTGTGTCATGCACTAATAAATCTAAACASAGCAAGAGTTCGAACAAATAAAATAAAATAAAAATAAAAAAATAAGGAACAAAACAGAAATAAAAAAATCCAAATTAACCAAGGTTAACAAGTTCCAATATTATTTTAGGATTAAATCCCCGACAATGGCGCCAAAAACTTGATAGCTATAGATATATAACCCTAGCAAGTGCACTAGTTATCAAGTAGTATAAAATATCATTCCCATGGGGATTTAACAAAATAAGTATTAGAACCACAGTCTTCCCTAATTATTT